TAATTTTCACACCACCATATGAAGAAGCTAAATACAAGACTAATTTTTGTAAATTGGAAAGTGAGGAAACGCTTGTTTTTGTGTAAGAATGTGTCAGGGCACATTGATAACAGAGCCAGCAATAATGGCTATGGTCTACCTTTTCAAAAATAAATAGTAAATAAAATCTGTAGTGATTCTGCTTTTTAAAATGTGTCTGCTCAACACTCTCTGGAGATGATGAAATATTTTGTCACCTAAGAAATTTGAACCTGAAAACAGATCATATTTAAAAAAAATACATCTACTTCAAGAAAACAGACTGTCTAATTGGTTACTATGTACTATAAATAGAAGAGCATTTTTTCTTTTCAAAGAATTTAACAAGATGATATAGTCTTTCAAGACTGTGGTAAAACAGTTCTTTTAATCACAAAACTTAAAAATGCAATGTTAATTTTTTATTTGTTTGTCTCTTGATTTCTCCAGTATTGACAATAGTGACAGTGGGACAGTTTTCCAAAGTAAGGAGGGCACATCAGGAAGTGGTAGCAGAAGAGGTGCACAGAAGAATTGTGACACCAAATTAGACAGATACAGACATGAAACTTCCAGCTTTCACTTTATTTCATCTTATCTTTTTACAGAAGACATGGGTGAGAGATGCTCTAAGCTGGTAGTCCTGCTTCACATTTTTGGAGGGGAAATTTGTCAAGGAGAGCCAAAGCCCATAAGCACCTCTTTTTAGTGATTAGCTGAGCTTTGAAATTGAGAGACCCTGAGATCACATTCCTCATTTTAAAAGACATAATAGTGAGTTATAGCACTTTGAGCTAGCCTGTGGTCTTGCATACATCACCAGTAGAGGAGGACAAATAAACCAAATAATTCCTGAGCTTGTTTTTATTATGTTTTCTTTAGTATACCTCCTTTTCCTTTGATCAGGTAAGGCCAAGTTAAATGTCTCTTAAGGTGGAAGTAGTTAAGAAGGATTTATTTGCTATCTTTTCCTTGTGAGTGGAGTGTTTTGTCACCCTTGGCTATAAATTCTTTTATAAAAACATGTCACCAGTGTGAGGTCCAGGCATGTCCAGTCTTCAGCCTCATCATCTGTTCAGATTTTGTCATCTTCTGTTCTCTGAAATATGTAATGTGTATTCTGTTGATGATATGAACATGATGGGTCTTTTTCAAATGCTGGGTCAGGACTATCCTTGCTTTAGAGCAGCTTTTAGACTAAATCTATAATCCAGGCAATTTTTAGGATGAAAAAATCCCATCCTGTTGTAGGAGCAATTATTACTACTTGTATTACAGTTGCTGTTTACATATAACAGATATAAGTTGGAGGTATTTTGACTTACTGACTAGAGTATAACAACTGTTTTGTGGAAACTGTTTAGCAAATAATTCATCTAATGATTTTTATTTTTGGCTGTCATTTAGCCCGTGTTTTACATTCTAAGACTGATTATAACAGATGGTATATGAATAAACTGCTAAGTTCTGCACTATTTAGTTACCTCAATTGGTCTCCACTCCCTAGTTTAGCAGAGTAGAAGGCTAAATGAGAAGCGTGAAGTTAAAAGAAAGCTTGGTGAAATCTCTGTTGCCTTTTACACTGTTATATAATGTGGAACTTCTGTGGGCTGTGATATTTGATAAAATGTGATGCTTTAATATGAATTCCATAAAAGCTCATTTACTTAAAGGTTTCAGAAGGGATGTAGAAGGATGTCAGCTAGTGGAAGAACAATTCTTGAGAGAACATGAACTTAAGGATATAAGTAAGTGTCTTGAGACCTTTTAAAGTGATTAGTGTAGGAAAGTACCAGGTCCATCACCTCAAAAACCTACAGTTATCAAATGAGATTAATTTGTCAGCAGCTTCTCTTAGTAGTCACTGCCTTTGCCAGGGTTTGTAGCACACATTGGCACATGTGCACCTTGTCAGCTTTCCTTTGAGACAGATTTAAAAGCAGATCTCATCACAGTGGTTGGAAAGTCCTGAAGGGTCTGTGTCCTTAAAGGATGGCTGCTGATCTTAGTTCTTTCCATCACAATTGGTCATCCTCATGTTTTATATATAAGGATAAAGGCATGCCATTGGGTGTTATTAACCTTTCTAAAAGTCAGCCTTCTACATTTAGCTCTGGGAAACAGAGAAACTTTCTTGCTTGAAGTGTTTAAATACCCTACAGTGAGATGTTTTACAGTCAACTTCTGCCTCTGCAGTTTCATAAAATATACCTTAAACCTTCCATTTGCAAGACAGCACTGAAAATATTTCTATCAATTATTTTCCTTTAAAGCTGCATTTCTTGGCTCATATTCTGAAATGTGAATACTGTAAACTTAAATGCACACTAACATCTAAGATTAGTGTCTTATTCTAAATATTAAATTTCATTTATGGAAATTACGTAGGATTCTTCATCTGTGAATCTGGCAATGTCTAGTCTCCAAAAGAGAGTGGATTAATTTATCATTATTGTTTAGGTCTGTACATTCCATTAATAGCAGTTTGTTACTTCCATTTTTCATTGCATTTTGATACACAAGCTGCTTATGTTTAAATTGAAATTGAAAGTTAATAGTGAATTAGATGTGGAAGACCAGTTCACAACTAAAGGCTTTTGCTTCAAACTGTAAAAAACTCATTAAATGCCTAAGGAATTTTCAAACACTGTATTAGCATTTTTTTTTTTATTATCCTAATTTTCTCAGTTATCACTATGGTGAAGAGGAGCTGCAGTTCCTACAATAATGGTTATTTCACTAGTTCTGTTAGTCTTAATGTGTTCTTGTGTTCCAATAGCTCTAAAATTCCTTAAGTGATTACAGAGACTTTGCCCTCACTGTACTAAATATAACAGTTTAGAAGCTGAATTTTTTGTATCACTACCACTTAGCTTTATATCACTAGATCAGGATTTTTCCTAATCTCCTCAATCTTTGAAAGAAGGTAGAGTTACCTTGTGAGGACAGTGGTGATCTCTAACATGCTTGAATGTGGCTCACCTGAATCCATGGGATGCTATAGGCCAAATGTTCTCAAATGATCCCCAAGTCAATTCCCATCCAATCCTGGTACTTTCCTTCCCTGAACTTTCACTAAACATAGAGGCCTATGAGGCATTATTTTTGAGGACTGAGGCAAAGAAAACTTGAAGTTCCTATTCCTTAATCTGTCTCCTACTAAATCATTTGCCCCACGTGACAATGGGCCCATACTTTCCTTGCTTGAACTTTTAATATTCCTGAAGCAGTAGATACACTTCTTGTGGCCCTTAAAGTGCACTGTGAGTCTCAGGTACAGAAAAGTTTTAATTTTGCTGACAGGTTCACTAAGTGTCTGAGTTGCTTTCCTGAATTCTGTCTGCATAATAGCATTTTTTTTATGCAATGTCTCTGTCATGAATTTTCTGATTAAGCCATATTGGTCTCCTAAATTGTCTCCATGTTTTCATGAGCATGAGGATGAACTGTTCCTTGTGCTTGGAGGTCTTCAAAGATTAGACAGCTTTCTTGAGTTATTTTGCTGTTTGAAGCTACACATAGATCCCCTTTCCCACTCTCTCAGTAAAGTGATATTTGCTCTCTTGAGTCAAGGTTTTGTGTTCTGCCTTCAGCTGTGGGTTGCTAAGGTACTAACAAGATTACCACAGATTGCCACATCCCCTACTAGTTTCTTTCTTGCTTAATGAGTAGCAGATCCAGGTTTGTCCATCCAGCCCCTGTATCCCTGGGATGTGACAGTTACCCCCTGATATCCTGTTCATGGTTTCTTATGTCCTTTCATGTCACATTCCCAGCAAATATCAGGGAGGTTAAAGCTTCTTGTGTGAACAAGGATCTGTGACACAGAGATTTCAAGTTCTTTACAGGTTTTATCTGCTACATCACCTTGATCAGGGAGTCTGTGACAGACTTTTCCCAGGATGTCACCCTCAATAGCCTTTTACTTGATCCTAACCCATGAGCTCTCAACAAGATTGTCTCCCATCCTATTGAAAAGCTTCCTGAATCTGTACTGCTCCTGTGCACAGAAGGCAACTCCCCATGTCTCACAAGCCTTTCTCTCCTGCAGAGCTGAGGTGTGTCCATCACAGCTTTCCAGTCATGCCAAACTCTCACAACATATCTCAGTCTGAGATTTGAAAACAGAATAGTTGCTTTGATTTGCTGGAAATGTACATTACACATCTACTAGTGATCTGCTGTGATACATAAATTTTATTATTTCTGACATAAAGCCCATAAAAAAAACCTCACAAGAGGCTGAATATGATCCAGGAATGTACAGTGGGAGCCCAGAACCCATCACTGTGTGCTGGGCTGCATCCAAAGCCTCATGGGCAGCAGGGCAGGGAAGGGATTCTACCCCTGTGTCCTCTGCTGAGACCCCACCTGCAGGGCTGCATCCAGCCCTGGGGTCCCAGCACAGGAAGGACAGGCAGTCCTTGGACTGTTGGAGCCAGTCCACAGGTGGCCACCAAGATGATAAGAGCACCTCTTTTCTCTGTTGAAAGGCTGGGAGAATTAGGATTGTTCAGCCTGGAAAAGGAAAAGCTTTGGGGTGACCTAATTATTTCCTTCAAGTACGTGAAGGGACCCCGCAGGAAAGAAGGAGAAGAGACTATTTACAAGGGTCTGGAATGACAGGATATGGGGGCAAGGCTTCAAACTGACAGAAAAAAGGCTTAGATTAGCTATTAGGAAAAGGTTCGTTCCTGTGAGAGCACTGAGGCCCAGGCACAGGTTGCCCAGAGAAGTTGTGGATGCCCATCCCTTGAAACGTTCAAGTCCAGGTTGGAGGAAGCTCTGAGTAACCTGAACCAGTGGAAGGCATCCCTGCCCATGGCAGAGGAGTTGGAACTAGTTGATCTTTAAGGTCCATTCAAACCCATACCTTGATTCTGTGGTTAGTAGAACAAAGTAGTATAGTTATTCATGTTGTATGGAGAATAAATTCCCTTAATTGAGAGTATTTTTAATGACTGATAATATTTGTACTTCTCTTAAGAATCTTTACAGCCTGCAATTGTCCCTTGCTGTTTTTCCTTGCTTCACCTGTTGCTGTTATCATGACACTCGATTAATGGTAGCTGCAGTAGTCCTGTTGTTGTTGAGATGCCACTGGCTCCAGGCAGTAATTGCCAGGTTCTTAGGCAACCTATGAAGCTGTTGGTGGAGAAGAGGAAAGTTACTGTGTAGAGGCACTCTGAACAGATAAACTTTATTTTCAGAATAGTATTTGTTTGGTCTTTCTACACAGCGACTCAAATGTATTCAGCTGCTAAGCACGCTGCAGCTTTTTGTTGTGCATCAACATTTGAGGTCCAACTAAACTGGTTGAGCTGGGTAATTCCTCTAAAACACTTCAGCAGGTAGAAAGATCTAGGCTTTTCACAGACAGTGTCCTGTGCTTTTCTGTGCTGGAGAAAGGGGAAGAAGTATGTGCAGTTGCTCAGATCTTCCCTGATTGGTGTTTGGGTAGGAAAACTAAGCCCTGGGGAAACCAGGTGCTTTTTAGTGATAAAAAAAGAACTCCTGTAAAAAAAAGTCACCACACAGTGACAACAAACATAAACCCCAACTAACTCAAACCAGAAATAGAGAATTGAATTTTAACAGAGTACTGGTTTAGTTATTTATACAACTAAACATATAACTACATATGCAGGTCTGATTTAAGTATGCAAGTAGGTTTTTTTCCTTATGCTGCAATTACTTGGATTGAAGTTGAACATATGTTAATATAACTGCTAGTAGAAGAAGAACAACTATTTCTTCAAAAGAATCATAAAATATTTTCTTAATCTCTTGCCCCAGGAATCTTTGGCCTTAATGATCTGTTTTTACTTGGTTATAGCAAATAAATTGAATGTTACTGTACATAGAGCTCTGTTTAGTAAAATGTAGTAATTTAAGAGTGAATTATTAGACTGAAATTTTCTGTGCTTCACACTGTGTTTTTTCTTATATATTTGTAAGTTTCAAACAGATGTGATTTTTATAACTGAAGAGGGCTTATGAAGCCTATTGTGAGAACTTGAAATTCTGGGGAGAAAAGTTGAATTACCTACATTTAGTATTTTCTGATCATCTAGCAAAATAAACATGAAATAAAGAATAAGAAGTCACTTTATTGTGAACAGACCTTGCTGATAAATCTTTGTTACATAAACAGGGACTATGGAATGTAAATCATAGGTATTACCGATTTTTTTTCTTAAAGATTACTGTAAAACTTGGGGATATTTATTTTTTCAAGACTTTGTATATTTTTCATGTTTCTTCAATATCAGAAGCCAAATATCTGTAGTTTGAGATGTTTAGTATCTGCATTATTCTTTGCCTATTGCCATTTTTTCTGGAAGTTAGGTGTCCTTCCTTTTATTCTGTCTCACCTATGGAATTTTTACCCATTAGCTGCAGGGAAACCTGATTGATGGTATTTATTGGGTACTTGAGAAACACAAAGAGTTTAGATGGCCCCGGAGGGCAGGAAGGGGCAGGAAAAAAGGAAGGTGGGGGCAGCTGGGGACTGGCTGGTTTCTTCAGCTTCAGAGCAGAACACTCACTGGGAGCTGTCCCAGACGGAGCTGCTGCTTCTCCTTCTTCTTTCTTCTTTTTTTTTGGACCTCACACCCCCTGTCCTGCCGGGACATCCTGCAGTGCCAGCCTGGAGCTGCTGATCCACCTCCAGGATCCCCCAGCCCAGGATCTCAGCTCATCCCTGCTGTTCCAGCTGAGTGTTCCTCAGAGCCCTGCAGGAGCACCGGCACTGACTGCCCCAGGGGTTTGTGAAGCAAAGCCTCTCCTCCATCCCTTCCCGTCTCGGCCCAGAAGGCTGTCACGGGGTCCCTGGTGCTGTTCTGTTGTTAATGCTGTAGTTATTGTTGTTTGTGTGCCTTGTTATACACACTGGTAAAGAACTGTAATTCCTATCCCCAGATACCTGCCTGAGAGCCCCTTGATTTCATAATTATAATAATTCAGACGAAGGGTGTCTACATTTTCATTCCAAGGGAGGCTCCTGCCCTCCCTAGCAGACACCTGTCCTTCAAAACCAAGACACATTTCTACTCTGAGAGCTGCCTACCAATTTGAAATCTCATTGGGTTGGGATGTCATGGAAGAGATTTTCCAGATGTTACTTCCAGTTGTAGTTGCAATGGCATACAGCCCTTTCCACTGACCCATGAAGCTCCAGATCCTGCAGTGAAAAGAAAACAGGCAGTTTTCTCTGCTTTGTCTTCCCTGTCTGTTGATATGTCTTTTCTTAAGGGTTAGCTTCATCTCAGGAGTGTAAATTCCAAAAAATACTGGAAATTCCTTCTTGTTATGAATTATGTAAATATCTATATATATTAGTTAACACCAGGCTGTGCTGAAAGAATCTCAGAAAAGACCTCCAAGATTTAGTCCAACCTGTGACTGATCCCCACCTTGTCTCTGAGACCAGAGCACTAAGTGCCATGTCCAGTCATTTACTGAACACCTCCAGGGATGGGGCCTCCATGGCTTCCCTGGGCATCCTGTTCTAATGCTTGAAGTCCTTCTTCCTGATGTCCAACCTGAACATCACCTGGTGCAGCCTGAGGACTTCTGGTCCTGTTGCTGGTTGCCTGGGAGAAGAGGCCAACGATCACCTGGCTACAGCTTCCTTTCAGGCAATTGTAGAGGGTGATAAAGGTCCCCCCCAGCCTCCTTTTCTCCAGATGTGCTACTGAATGAGCACGTAAGGCTTCTCAGGTCTATGCCTTATCATTCTGGCCTAAAATGATTGTACTTGTGTGATCATTTCTCTATGTATTTCTGTCGGTGCACTTGTGACACTTTGACAGATTTGTGCTTTGAGGTGTGTCCTCACCAGGACAACTGTGAGATGGATATAAGATGTGGGAAACTGAAGTTCAGAGTCAGACTTGCAAGTTACTTCATTTCTCCTTAGTACTGGAATAGGGTATCAGTGTGCTATCAAAGACTAGCAGATTAAGTATGTAGGACATTTCCCTGTCATACTGTGATGGTGATATTCCTATTTGGCCTAAGGTCTTTTAGGCTTCCCTTGGCCAACCAGTTTGTTGTGGTTTTACAAAATTCTTTTTACATTTACACTTTTTGCATTACCTGATTCTTCACTTAAAATCTCATTGGAAAAATCTCTATCTCCAGGATAATGGATTAGTCAGCATTAGTTTGGCTAACGTTTAATCTGTATATGTCTGTGCTCTATTCAAGTCAGAACCAATTACACATTAAAAGTCAGCAGATCTCCTGAAGGAATAAGGTAAAAACCACTTGAAGGAAAGAGAATTGTTTATAGGTAACCAAACTAATTTTCTCCCAGTCAGCTTTTCCCAGTCAACTTGGAGAGGTGCTGGTACATCCAGTAGTACTTTCATTGCCTGGGGTCCAGCCATTGCTAACTATCTTCAAAACCAGGGGAGGTTTCATCCTTGCAGAAAATGTTTTCAAGAGCCAGGGCAAAAGCTTTTTGGGCAGAGAAAAAATTTTCTCCATCAGGGAAAATGGATATTTTCTTCTCCAAATCTTTACTGTCCTATTGCAATTTTCCTGTATGAAAATGTCAATCTTCTAATAAGCTATATTATCACAGGAATATGTACTTACTAAAACCCAGACCTTTAAATATCAATTTAGCAAAACAAAAGTTGTTGAGGAGGTTCAACTATGAAGTTGAAAATAAGGTGCCTTCAGAGTCCTTAATCTGGACTTCCAAAATAATGTAGTTTTCTTCCATAAGGAAAAAAAAAAAAAAAAAAAGAATTCCAAATGGGTTTTTCTTCATAAGGAGAAAAATAAATGTTTGCTTTAACAAGGAGAAAACACATTCTCTGATTTATGCTAACTGACGGCAGCCCTCAAGGAAAGAGATAATTAATTACGGGGTTGCTTGATGCAGGCTAACAGGAAAACTGTTATAACTTCAGTCAAGTTTTGAAGTTAGGGTATGTTTTCAGGCCAGCAGCTAATTTTTTTGATGCATACATTCAGCATTGAACTAATTTGGAAGAGCTATAAGGGGGTAGAAAAGCTGAGAAAGAGAGAAGGAATTATACGTCCCAGAGACCTCCAGTGGGAGGCAAATGAAATAAGATTATTTAGATGTTTATTTGCTCTCTGGTAATCTTACAATTGCTTAAAGGGTGGATGTTTTATTAACAACAGATGTTTACAAGGAAATGTAAGATTAAATTAGTTTTCAGTGGTATTGGTAGCATACAGATTTTTATATCTGACTGCTTTTTTTTTCTCATTTGTTAAATTCAGAAAGGAACATGTGAACTTTAAGAACCAATACCTTTTGATTACATGAAAATTATATATGGATGTAAAATATATGAGACTTAAAAGTAAATTAGTGTTAAAGGGTAAATGCACAAAATAATAGGTAATGAAATACATGCTACTTTCCCTTTGGCCAAAGTCATGATTTTCAGAAAAAGAAGAATTATTCCAGCAGCTTTGTAGTAGTTTAGATTCACCAATTTCAGTTTCCTGGCCAATTCATCAAATAATGTGGTGGGTTATAGTGCTGGCTAAAATCACCAGTGCTCTCACTCATTTTTTGCTGTGAGATATGGATTAGGAGAAGGGCAAAACAGTCTTAAAATTAAAAGGAATAAAGAAACTTTATTAACAGGACTACAAGAATAAGAAACCAGAATAAAACATTCAGATCTCCTTTCCTCCCCCTGCCCAACTTTTCCCTTTCCCAACTGACCACATAGAGACAAAACCTGGGATGTTAAATCAGTACCAACTATACAATAGTCTTTCATCAGTCCTTGTAGGGAGAGGAGTTTTCTCTTGCCATGCCATGGAGACTTTCATTTCCACAAATAGCAGCCACCTGGGAAAAAATCTGCCATTGTGACACCCCTCCCATTTTCACAGCCGTCCTAGAAGTGTGTCCATGGGCCATGAACTCATGGGGTATTATTTTTAGGATGAGTTGTTCAAAGGCAAAGGTTCTCTTCATCTGTCTCTGTGATCATCTCTGGGAACAGAGGTTTTCTTCTTCTCTCCCTTGGGAAAAAAGGGTCTTCATCACTCTCATCTCTCTCTCTCTCTCTCTGTTCAAGCATCTCATGGGATCACAGCTACTCGAACATTTGCTAGGATTCATCAATGGATACCTCTGCTCAGATCTACAGTTTGAATACTTCATTCCCCCAATACACTTTCACGAATTAAAGGAGATTCATTGTCCATCTCCATGGCCTTATCAAAAGAATATTTCAGCCCCATTCGGCATCTCCTCATCCCTCTTCCATCTGAGGCTTGACTCTTTTTTTTACTGACCTTGGTGTTTTCATGTTGTATTTCTACATGCCACTCCTTTTTTTCTCCCTGGAGAGAGAAACAAGATCTGCAGGTCTCATCCATATAGTCAAAGGGTTAAATCTTACTCCAGCCTGTGGATGGTTATGTGATCTCTGCCTGGGCAGGGGCTGGAGCTCTTTATGCTGGATGATTTTTTGTTTGTTGCACTGGGCTCTCAGCAGCCAGGCCAGCCCTCAGAGGCAGCACGCTGTGAGCCCATGGCTTCTCCTCCCCCTGCCAGCAGTTTCTGGTGAAATTCAGCACCTGCAGAATTTCAGCCCAGCTGGGGCCAGCCTGGCCACTGCAAAGGGCTCAGAGGGCTCCCTGGGAGGGCTCAGCCCCCCTGGGAAAGACTTCAGCCACCCCTCTGGAATGGGACCCGGAGGGTTTCCCAGGAGGGGCTGCAGCAGAGCCCGGCCCAGCCTGGGGGGTGAGGGGACCCCACAGCCTCCATCCCCCACCGGGAGCTGATGGGGTCCGGCCTGGCCTCCCCCACAGGCCGTACAGGCCTCAGGGGAGCAGGGCCGGCCTCACCTCAGCTTTGTTCCCTCTGAGGCCAGAAACAAAGAGAAAGAGGTTCCCGGGCTTGGGTTTTTAAAATGTGGAATTCACTGAGGCAGATATAATTTTCAGTGGTGCAAAATGCTGTCAGTTCTCAGAATGAGCCAGCTATTGGCCTGTCTCAGGCATAAAGGAAGCTCCCAGAAGATTCTTTCAAAGAAATCACTTCCGTGCGTGATTCTTACTTCTTTCCCTAAATGTCAATTAATGTCAAACTACCACAGTCTTCTGTCCAGTTAAACTCCAAATGAACAGGAATTTGTCTTGAAAAGAAATAAATAAAAAAAAAAAAAAAAGTTGCTCCTGGGGGTTGAACAAGACAGCAATTAAGCAATCTCACTGTCCAAAAACTCCAGTGGGATGGGGAAGAAAGAAATCTATGACTTTCTGTTCTATCTGTTGTGTTGGTGATTTGAGAGGGGAGGGATGATGTTGTGTGTTGAATTGTTGGGTGCAGAAGCCAACTCAGGTTGGATCAGTCTGCACTTAGCAGGTTCCTTACAAGGCTTGTCTTTTTACTGGTTTTACTGGCTCTTAATGTGGTGCTTTCCAATGGAGTACAACTATGATGGAAATTCAAATAAAGCCTTATTTTTCCACTAAGGTTAGGCATCCTGGAGAAACACATCAGATTACTCCAGCTGACTCAACCAGCAAATACACTTATGGCCTTGGGAAAAAATCTAACCCTTAAAGATCTTTGCCTTTTCCCAAAGAAGGCATAACCCACCCTTTCTGATCCAATTCCCTTTATGTGCCATAGGAGCTGTAGCTCCTTCCACAGTATGCAGCATTTTCATATGGGCAAGAAGATCCACTAGTGTTTGCTAGACATGTGACTTCTGGCTAAAGTGCATCACATCAGTGCTTGAATGTCTCAGCACTCATTGCTTTCACCATAATTTTTAATAATACATTGCCTTGTTCTGTCTTCCTGGTGGCTAGTGCATGACAGGGAATATGATATTCCCAGTCAAGGAATGTATTTGTTGGCCTGGATGCCTACAAAGTAGTTTCATAGTTGGTTCATATTGTCCAGTTCAGTTCTTTTTGTGGTGAATTGTCATCGTAAAACTTGGTTTTCAAAGTATTTTGGGTGATTACAGTACTGATTACAGGGTAGGTTTTTGAACATCCGATAGCGATCTCCACCATAGAAAGCATGTGATGTTTACTTCAGCATGTTCATGCAACTGTGATCCATGTAGTGTCAGCTGCAGGATATATAGAGGGATGCTTCATTTGGTTCTTCAGGACAGCACAGGTATTTGTGGTGCCAAGAAGAGCTGTGCTTCTGTAATAACTACTTCTGAGGCAACTCAGAAGTTGGGTTTTACCAGTATGTCTTTTTCATAGTTAGGGTGCAGTGGGATTCAGATCCTCTATGTCCTGGCTCCAAAACTCCAGAGGCTGATCTTGGGTCTCTCCAGATGCTGTCTGGCAGAGGGTGTAACTACAGCAACAATTTCCCTGGCTGTGGTGTAGGCCATCCTTCTTACATCCTTCTGGTCCTGTCCAGCTGGTCTAGGGCTACTGCATGATCAGTTTTGTGTTTGATCTCTTCAAAGGTTT